TCAGCAGGAGAACATACATTATTTCCCATCAAAGAATTCACACAGGGGAAAAGCCATATAAATGCCTGGTGTGTGGGAAAAACTTTGGGCGGAAGGATTACCTAACTTCTCATCAAAGAATTCACACTGGAAAAACCATATAAATGCTTGGGGTGTTGAAAAAACTTTGATCATTGTGCAAACCTTACTTCCCATCAGATCATGAAGCTTCCTTATACTGAATCAGACCTTTGGTCTATCAAAGTCAGTATTGTTTACTGAGACTGGCAGTAGCTCTCCAGGGTCCTGGGCAGAGGTCTTTCCAGCACCTGCTACCTGATTATGTTTACTGTTTATGACAGAGATTGAACCTGGGACCTTCTGCATGTCAGAGATATGCTCTACCCGTGGGTCATGGCCCCACACTCAGGTGAGAATTCATATTAATTCCTGAAATGTGGGGAAAGTTTCTATAGGACAACTTACATTATTTATTTCCCATCAAAGCACCCACACAGGGGAAAAGATGTATGAATGCCTGGTGTACGGAAAACTTTTCATTTACAATGGGAGGCTTACTTCAGTCACATGGAGGAGAACAAATATAAATCTGTACCAGGACACAGATTGTGTGTAACTAAATCTGCAAAATGGAGGCAGGGACAGACGGGGAATTTCTCTGTAAACCTGAAGAAAGTCTTGTGTTTGCAGAAAAATATGGAGTGTGTGTGTATAAATTGGTAAAATTAAAGCTCGCCCAAATAATAGAAACAGCACATGTAACCTCAGGGCCATTTGTGGGAGGGGTGCTAGAAAACCACACTATTGTCCACACTTTGGCTTCTGTAAAGTGTAGGGGACAGCAGAGGAAAAGCCAAAGCAACCCTGGAAAAGCTCTTGTCTCCCTTCACTGGCATGTCTCCTGATGGATGAGGACTTGCTGGGGACCGGCCTGGTACCAATTTGCTACCCAAACTTTTCCCGAGCAGAGCCTGCCAGGGGGAGGGAAGGAGAGAAAAAGATTCAGGGAGGCAACTAAAGACAGGTTGGTGGGTGGGTGGAAAAGGAGGGAAGGAAGCAGGAAATGCAATGAGATGCAATGAGGCTTCTTGTAGGAAAGGGGCATACAGGGGGAAATGAGATACCCCTCACAAGTCCTCGTGGGTATCTTACAAATAAATCTCATTTGACCTTCGTGTTATTGATTTTTATTAATATTTTAAGGTTTTTCTATAAGCGTCCATGAGCAAGCACACAGATTTTTGTATTACATTAAACGACTGCAACCTCAAACGACTGGAATAACTTTTGTGTAGAATTGCACTGTCAGTATTACTAGTTATTTTATATCGTGTCCCATCCCGTCCCCCCCAATCTGTGGAGGTTTGTTTTTGCAGCCCCTCTGCCCCTTTCTTTTTCTCTGCTTATTCTGGCTCAGGACATTGAGTGGAGAGTGGAGAGGCTATGGGGCTTCCTTTGAGGGAGGGAGATAGAAGAAGAAGAAGAGAAGAAGAGATTGGATTTATATCCCGCCCTTCACTA